TAAAAGTTTAAATCTTGAAAATGGTAGTAATAAAAATCTAAGTATTGGTTCTTTTCTTAGGAAAGGTCTTGAATTTTATTGGAATTTAAAGAAACATCAAGAAAATGTTGAAGTGTTTCATAAATGGAGTAGAATGTAGAAAATCACTTGAAGAAGAAATTTTTGCTATGTTTGAGAATATACATAGGCATTATTCATCAGCTGGTGATTTGGGTACTTTAGATTTTAATGGAGAAAGTCAGTATTATAATTTTCCTGGAGATGAACTAACTATAGCTAAAGGGTACTCAACTATGATTGAATCTTTGGCATTTGTTTTACCACCTGGTTTGATTCAATTAGGCCGAAAAGTCACAAAAATTGAATGGCGAAATGATGACTGTGACTTAAAATTTGAAAATGGTGATGGTATTAAACCAGTGAAGTTACATTGTAGTGATGGATCAGTAATGCATGCTGATCATGTCATTGTAACAGTCTCATTAGGGTACTAGAACAAGGAGTTCACGACGATTCTGGTTTTTTCATGATAAACATTTAATCATGATTACACATTTTTTATAAGGCATATATATGTTACTGTAAGGCTGCAAGAATATGTAATACTTCTTTCGGACTGATATTCTTTTGAAACATTCTACACATTTTTTACAGTAGAATTAAATGCATGTATTTGGCCACTTAAACAATAACTTGAATGTAAAATTGTTTCTTGATCATCTAAAAAAGGAGTTTAGAGCCTACCAATTTAATTCTCTTTGAGTCTAGTTGGGTAAGAGATGTTAAATTTGTTTATCAATAAGGTGTTTGTAGATGTGACAGTGTATATTTTTTTTATGAAGCTAGTTAATTTCCTTGTAACCAAAAGGTGTGTAAGAGTAAAAACTTGCTGTAATATTTCTCATTTTATTTAGAGGTGATTTGATTTGTTCATTTCTCTTGTATGTTAGTTATTATATATGTTTTGATTATTATCAATGCTGCACTTTTATTTAATTAACTTTCTTTTTTCTTTAAATAGAAAGGATGGATAAAAGTTGGTTGAATATTAGGAATAGAGTCGACCAAAGGTACAGAGATGGCGTAGACAACTTTCTTAATTGGGCATTCAGTCAACCAACAGTGAGCACTATGATTCGGTGTCCTTGTAAAGGGTGTATGAATATCGAGTTCAAGCTACGTGTTGGTGTAAAAGGAGATTTATTGAGGAAGGGATTTTGGGATTCTTATAAAGTGTGGGACTTACATGGAGAAGTGTCAGTTAGAGTTGAAACTTCTAGTGTTGTAGTTAGTGATGATGAAGCAGAAAATGATAGCATTGAAGAGGACAATATTGGTGAAATGATTCACGATGCTTGTGGATATACGAATGTGGAGGATAATAACAACAATAATAATAATAATTTAGAGTACAACGAAGAGCCAAATATACATGCAACAAAGTTCTACGAATTGTTAGAAGATGCTGAGACAGAACTTTATCCTGGTTGTAAAAAAGTCTCGAAGTTGTCTTTTATTGTTAAACTACTTCACTTGAAGTATCTTAACCATTGGAGCAACAAATCTATGGATGCACTATTGAGCTTCTTTAAAGAAGTTCTTCCCGAGGGGTCATTTGTGCTAAATTCTTTCTATGAAGCAAAGAAAGTTCTTTGTGACCTCGGCTTGGGGTACACCAAAATAGATGCATGTCGGAATGATTGTATTTTATATTGGTGTGATTATGTCGATATTCAAGCATGTCCTAAGTGCGGTAAGTCTAGATGGAAGTCCGAAGAACACGTAGGCAAGAAAGTAGCTCATAAAATCTTGCGGCATTTTCCAATCAAACCAAGGCTTCAAAGATTGTACATGGCAAGAGAGACAGCTAAAAGGATGAGGTGGCACAAGAAGGGAAATATTGATGATGGTATCTTGCGACATCCGTCTGACTCAATAGCATGGAAATCCTTTGATGCACAACATCCTACCTTTTCAGCTGAGTTAAGAAATGTTCGCCTAGGCTTGGCGAGTGATGGGTTCCAACCTTATGGGAACATGAGTTCTAATCATAGTATTTGGCCAGTTGTACTAGCTACATATAATTTTCTACCATGGGATTGCATGAAAAATCTGTATTTTATGATGACACTTCTTATTCCAGGCCCTAAGTGTCCAGGCAATGATATCGATGTATATTTACAACCAATGATTGAAGAGTTGAAAGAATTATAGGTTGGGGTGGAGACTTATGATGCACACTCAAAATCTAATTTTCTGATACGTGTGGCTATCATGTGGACAATCAATGACTTTCCTGTATATGGGAATCTTTCAGGATGGTCAACCAAAGGCAAGCTTGCATGCCCTTGTTTCCATAAAGATACACAATCGACTTCCTTACGTAGTAAGTTGTATTATATGGGTCATCGTCGCTTTCTTCCCATGGACCATCCATGGCGTAGAAGTAGGATGTTATTTGATGGGAAATTGAAATGGGAGTTACGCCTAACCCTTTAATAGGTGATGGAGCACTTATGCAATTACAAGCATTAGGTAATGTGACTTTTGGTAAAGGACAAAAAAGAAAGCGTGATGTTCATAATAATGCATACAATTGGAAGAAGAAAAGTATCTTTTTCCAATTGCCTTATTGGAAGAGTCTTATGTTACGACATAACCTTGATGTGATGCACATCGAAAGAAATGTGTCCGACAATATTATATCAACTGTCATGAATATGGCTGGAAAGACAAAAGACACATTGAAAAGTATATATGACTTGATGGACCTTGGAATCAGACAAAGGTTGCATCCAATTGAGGATGGGAATAATATTTTGTTACCTACAACATGCTATGCATTGTCCCCGGAAGAGAAGCTGAAGGTATGTAGTTTCTTGGCTAATCTGAAGGTTCCTGATGTCTTTTCCTCAAACATTTCAAGGTGTGTCAATATACAGGAAAAGAAGATACATGGATTGAAATGTCATGATCATCATATATTGTTGCAAGACATTTTTCCAGTAGCTATACGTGGTTTGCTACCCAAGAAAGTGTGTGATCCAATTATAGCTTTAGGAAAATTTTTCAAGAATATATACTCTAAGTGCTTGACGATTGAAGATCTTGATATCCTAGAGGCAGAAATTCCTATTATTTTGTACAAACTTCAACTTGTTTTCCCTCCGGCGTTCTTTTATGTCATGGTTCATTTGCCAATTCACTTGCCAAGTGAGGCAAAGCTTGGTGGAACAGCTCAATATCGGAATATGTATCCTATAGAGAGGTAATTTATTTTTTAATAATTTCGATGCTATAGTTTTAGAATGACATATATTATATTAATGAGTTATTTTATATAGGTATTTGCGAACACTTAAGTCATATGTTCGCAATAAAAATCGTCTAGAAGGTTCAATTGCAGAAGGTTATTTGGCAGAGGAAAGCCTTACATTTTACTCACGATACTTGAAGAATATCTCAACCAAGTTTAATAAACCAACTAGGAATGATGATGGATTTGTGTCAAATGATGAGATGTCTATCTTTAAAAAAAGTGGTCAAACAAAAGGTGCTTCAGAAGACATCAAGCTATCTCATGATGAGTTTAAACAAGCATGTATGTATGTGCTTCAAAATGGTGAAGAGGTTTCGCATTTCATGGAGTAAGTCTCTTATTAACTCCAAGATAGTTTCACATTGATATAATCTGAACCAGATTAATCTTAACTAACTTGAAATATAGGGAATATACAAGAAAGATTGAAAGCCAAAGTTCAATGGAGCTCATAAAAATGAGTTTCTTGATTGGTTTCATGCACGTGTAGGTGTCCACTTAATTAATAATATTGATATTTGTTTAATCATCCCATCATGTTATTGGTCATAACAGTGTTGTTCATCTTTGTAGATATTTGTACTATCTTCACAAGGATGCGCAAATGATGAGCTCATAAGCTTAGCCGCCAGTCCTGCACCATTAGTACATCGATATTAAACATTTATAGTAAATGGATTTAGATTTCATACAAAAGAGATTGCATTGAGAAGAAAAACGCAAAATAGTGGTGTTCTTGTGAGAGGAGATGATTCAGACTCTAATAAGGAGTATTATGGTGTATTAGAGGACATTTATGAGTTATCTTATGTAGGAAATAGAAAAGTTTACTTATTCAAGTGTCATTGGTGGGATGTGGTTCTCTTAGGAAGAGGATATAAGACAGACAAATATGGCTTCACAAGTGTGAATACTCGGTTTGAATACAAATGAGCCATTTGTGTTGGCATCTCAGTCGGAGCAAGTCTTTTACTTGGACGACATGGTCGATAAGGATTGTCTTATTGTTGTGAAGACAAATCCTCGCGACCTTTTTAAAGTGCTTGATAATGATGATAATTGTGTAGAAAGTGAAGATGAAGAATTAGTGAATGAAGAAGTCTATCAACAAGAGGAAGCTGAATTTAATACTTCGTACACCGATGACCAAGAAAATATTGTTGAGGTGTCTCTACATAGAGATAATGTTGAACCACAAAGTATTAACTACGATCATGCAAGTACGCAAGCTCAAAACAATGTGCATAATGAGGAAGATGATTTCATAAATGACAATCATATAGAAATATCAGAGAGTGAAGATAGCGAAGAAGAGTTATTTGATGATGATGATGGGGAAGACACCGATACATCCTTTTGAAAACTAAGAAGCAAAAGACTAATGATATAGATGTTACATCGTGTTTTGAAAATTCTCTGTATTTTTGTCCATATTATTGTCCGTATTAGACTAACAGTGAAATTAGTTCTTGGTGTTTGAAGCTTTGTGTTGATATCTTATTTTTGGAAGTTCTCTGTATGTTTGTCCTTATTAGACTTACGATGAACTTCGTTCATGATGCTTGTAGCTTTATGTATACATCTTATTTTAAAAAGTTCTCTGTAATTTTTGTCCTAATTAGATTGAATGAAATTAATTCGAAATGTTTGAAGCTTTAATTTCATAACAAAATCAGTGGTGATAAAGGAGAAATCCTATTGCCGAAGAAATAGACACACCAGATAAAGTTTGGGAGATCCAACATACGTGCAAGGATGATAAAGGAGAACTGGTGTGGGTGGATTCACAATCCCAACAAATTCATGTAATTATATAATATCATAGACTTGTTATCTTTCTGTTTCTATAAGTTACATTGAGTGTGTTTTATTATGTTTTGATGTAAATGATTATGCATAAATGCAGGGTCAACTCCAGGAAGTTGTCGCTCAATAACAATCTGAAGAGATCGAGCATCCCATGACTAGAGATGGGATTTTATCCACCGTTCTTGGTGAGAGAACAGGCTATGTTCGCGGAAAAGGATACGGAATGAAGCCTCCTAAAAAGAGTAACATGCAGCATGCAAATATAGAGCCCAACGTGTCTTCAACTATGGAAATTGTGCATCAAGAGTGCAAGCCGATATGGATAGAAAGTTTCAAGAAGAACGTGAACAAATGGTTGCTGAGTTGAAAAGAAATATGTAGCTTGAGTTGCAAAGGAAGTTGGCAGAGGAGCGTGAACACGCAAATGCAGAAGTGCAAAGGAAGTTGGCAGAGGAGCGTGAACACGCAAATGCAGAAGTAGGCAAGAGGATCCATCTAGAAGTGGACAAGAGGATGCATGAACAATTTGCTAGTTTCATGATCAGAATGCAACAACAGGTACTTGCTTCGCCGCTTCTTAACAATTCTTCTTCTTTCTCGGCATTTCTTCTTCCTTAATTCTGGATAATTCTTCTGTCACTTGCTCCCTATCTTCTTTTCAACTTCTCCTTCTTTAAATTTCATCCTCTTGATAATAGACTATTGGGCTATTTTTTGTTTATGTGAAATCTGGATTTTTCCAAACGTTGGGCTTCAGGGGCTTAGTTGATAATAGACTATTGGGCTGTTTTTAGTCTATATGAAATGTGAATTTTGCAAACCTTAGTTTATGTGAAATATGTACAGTAGCTGCTTCAGGGGCTGCTGCTGCGGTTTCTTTGCAAACCTTAGTTGTGTGGGCTGCTGCTGCTGCTGTTTAGTTGGTACTTGTGTGGTTTCTCCTGGTGTTGATTCATGACTATGAGGCTAGTAGAAGGATGTAAATGGAATTGAGGGAGTGGACAAGATGCCAATGAAGCATAAGTTTGTCCTAAATATGAAACCAATAACTCTTTTTAGATAAAAAGAAGCACATCATCTTTAAACNAAAGTTTTTCATGTTTGCAGATAAATAAAGAGTAATTTAGTCAAATAATCCCTTATAATTAATGTTATTAACTGATTTTCTAAAAGTTGTGTTAAAACCTTAAAATGGACGGTAGTGAGTGTCTTTTACGTGACATACATTTTTTTAGAGGATGATCGACTGCTACATTTCTTAGCAGGGACAAGGCGCATAAACAATGGTATCGTTCAAGGATGGTGTCGACCAAGGAGCAATTACAAGGAACTTAATATTTTATCTTTTTTGGGATATGTATATGCGTACAATTACAATGCACAATGAAGTGTCGTGTAGTATTATGTAATTGAGTTTTTAGTGATGAAAATATTTATAATATTTAGTTTGAGAATTTCTTTTGGTGTTTTTTAAATATTATTGGTTTCTTTTAATATTGATAGTCAATAGATGTGAATATCCCGTCATTATATTTAGAGAATTAGGGTCCCACCGGAAATATATATAATTTTGGTCATTATAGCTTTTGAGAAGATAGGTTTTAGTGGCGACATTATTTTGTCACAAAATATTAGTAATTGTTGCGATGTTAAAATTGCCACTATTAGTTTATTTCTTTTGCAGCGACTTTAGTCGCAACAGAAAGTTATTGCACCTTTCTTGGTTTATTATTTGTAGCGACATGAGTCGCTACTAAAAGTCATTTATAGTAGCGATATGAACTTGCCATTGAAAATATGTTTTGGCAGCGAAAGCAGTCCCCGCTAAAAGGGAATAGCAGTGGCGACCCAGCTAAAATTTTATTCTTGTGGAACCATTTTTGTAGCGGGTTTTGTGACCTTTTGTGGCAACTGTGTCGCCGCATAATATGAGCTTTTAGCAGCGACCTTTTGAAGTCGCCACAAATACATTTTAGTTATGGTTTTCCTTGTAGCAACACAAATGTCGCCACTAATAACATGTAGCAACGACTTTCATGGATTTTGTAGAGACTTTGGTCGCCGCAATAAGGCTGATTTATTGTAGTGTGAGATCTATATTCGGGAGATTGTTTGTCTTCATGGTGTGCCCGAGTCTATCATTTCGGATCGAGGTATGCAGTTTACCTCCCATTTCTGGAGAGCAATTCAGTGAGAGTTGGGCATACGGGTTGAGTTGAGCACAACATTTTATCCTTAGAAGGACGGGCAGTCCGAGCGGACTATTCAGATTTTGGAGGATATGATTCGAGCTTGTGTCATTAACTTTCGAGTTTGCCGCAAAATATGAGCTTTTAGTAGCGACCTTTTGAAGTCGCCACAAATACATTTCAGTTACGGTTTTCCTTGTAGCAACACAAATGTCGCCACTGATAACATGTAGCAGCGACTTTCATGGATTTTGTAGCGACTTTGGTCGCCGCAATAAGGCTGATTTCTTGTAGTGTGAGATCTATATTCGGGAGATTGTTCATCTTCATGGTGTGCCCGAGTCTATCATTTCAGATCGAGGTATGTAGTTTACCTCCCATTTCTGGAGAGCAATTCAGCGAGAGTTGGGCACACGGGTTGATTTGAGCACAACATTTTATCCATAGAAGGACGGGCAGTCCGAGCGGACTATTCAGATTTTGGAGGATATGATTCGAGCTTGTGTTTAACTTTGGAGGCTCGTGGGATCAGTTTTTTCCTTTAGCAGAGTTTGCCTACAACAACAGCTACCAATCGAGTATCCAGATGGCTCTGTATAAAACTTTATATGGTAGGCGGTGTCGGTCGCCAGTTGGATGTTTTGAGCTGGGGGAGGCTCGGTTGTTGGGTACGGATATGGTTCAGGATGCCTTGTACAACTTCAGGATCATTCAGGATAGGCTTCGTACATCTCAGTCCAGACAAAAGAGTTATGCCGGCCGTAAGGTTCATGATTTGGCATTCATGGTCGGTGAGCGGGTATTGCTTCGAGTGTCACCTATGAAGGGCGTGATGAGATTTGGGAAGAAGGGCAAGCTTAGCCCTAGGTTTATTGGCCCGTTTGAGATTCTTGATCGAGTGGGAGAGGTGGCTTACAGACTTGCATTGTTGCCGAGCTTATCAGTCGTGCATCAAGTATTTCATGTGTCCATGCTTCGAAAATATCATGGCGATCCATCCCACGTGTTAGATTTCAACACTATCCAGTTGGACAAGGACTTGTCTTATGAGGAGGAGCCGGCAGCTATTCTAGACCGGCAGGTTCATCAGTTGAGATCGAAGAGTTTTTCTTCTGTTCATGTTCAGTGGAGAGGTTAGCCCGCTGAGGCAATGACCTAGGAATTCGAGTCCGATATGCGGAGCCGTTATCTCCATATTTTCCCCGACTGAGGTACTTCCTTCTTTTGTCCGTTCGAGGATAAACAATTGTTTTAGAGGTGGAGGATGTGATAACCCAAAAGGTCATCACTTGATTTAAAAGTAAATTCTGCATTTTGAGGCCTTAAAAACCTCTTTCGGCATCACCTCGATTTGCGTACGCTGTACGGGCGCATAGCCGAAAAAGCCATTTTGTGAAAATCTGTGAAAAATGATGAATTTCGCATTTAAAATGAGTTTAAATTGACTTCGATCAACATTTTAGGTAAACGGACCTGGACACGTGATTGGACCGTCCCGGAGGGTCTGTAGCAAAATATGGGACTTGGGCGTATGCCCGGAATCGAATTCCGATGTCCCAAGCCCGAGAAATGAATATTTAAAGAAAATTGTTTTCTGAAATTGTTTATGAGTTTTGGAAATGAAAACTGTTTAAAACTTGATGTTATCGGGTCGTATTTTGGTTCCGGAGCCCGGTATAGGTCTTATATGTGATTTAAGATAAGTCTGTGAAGTTTGGTAAGAAACTGACTTGAAACGACGTGAATCAGATCGTTTTTGAGAAAAATGGAACATTTGAAGTTCTTAAACAATTTCATTATTTTGATGCTAAATTAATAGTTGTTGATGTTATTTTGGTGATTTGAATGCACGAGTAAGTCCGTAGGGTATTTTTGAGGTAGTGTACATGTTTTGTTTGGAGCCCCGAGGGCTCGGATGAGTTTCAGATAGGTCTCGGGAGGTTTTGAACTTAGGAAAAATTGTAGAATATACTGTCTGCTGGTGTCCAGGACTTTGTTCTATGCGATCGCATAGGAAAGTTCGCGACCGCATAATGTAATTTCAGGGGGTCCATTTTTGTACTATGCGATCGCATAGGTCCTTCTGTGATCGCGTAGAGTAAATTCTGGGAGGTCCATTTTTGTTCTATTCAATTGCATTGTTTCTTCCGCTATCGCAATGGGTTAAACCAAGCCTGGGAAGGGAACCCATTTTCCTCTATGCGATCGCAATCCCTTCTCTGCGATCGCAATGCCTAGTTCCCCCTTACCCTATGCGATCGCAAACCCTTGTCCGCGATCGCAGAGACTAATTTTTCCCAGTCATTTAAACAGAACGGAACACATACGGGATTAAACCAAAATTTCATAAATTCTTCTTCAAAACTCCAAATTGGGCGATTTTTGAAAGAGAACTTCACCACAAATCCATAGGTATGTAATCTTAGATTCATTTTCTTCAATTTCCATTAACACCCATTAGATTTCTAGGCTTAAATCATGTTCTTAAGGGTAGAAACTTAGGGATTTGTGTAGAGTTAGGGCTTTTGTATAAATGGAATTTAGACCTTGTTTTGGGGTCGGATTTCGAAACTAATTACATATTCGGGCTCGTCGGTGAATGGGTGATCGGGTTTTGGTCCGAACCTCGTGTTTTGACCAAGCAGGTCCGGGGTCGATTTTTGACTTTTTGGGAAGAATGATAGGAAATCTATAATTAAGCATTGGAATTGAATTGTTTGGCGTTTATTGATATTATTAAGCCAATTATGTCTAGATACAATTGATTTGGAGCCAAATTCTAAAGGAAAAGCGGTGTTTGAGGCTCGAGTTGGCCGTGGAAGTTCGAGGTAAGTGTTTGGTCTAACCTTAGCTTGAGGGATTAGGAGTCGAGTCCTATTTGCTATGTGGTATTTTTTTAGTACGACGTATAGGCATGGTGACGGGTATCAATACGTTGGTGTCAAGCATGCCAGTGAGTCTTGTATCGTGATTATTATGGATTCATTGTATTATTAATGCTTTGATGATGATTTCTATTGGTAGGCAAAGTTTGTGGAAGTAATTGTGACATTTGAATATTGAGGAGCATTGGCTCAAGTTGTATAATAAAATGTGAAAGTATAAGTGGAAATTGAACCTTTTAGAACATTGGCTCAAAGTTGTGAAGTGAGTTGTGAAGTAAAAGTGAAAAAAGTGAAGAGAATCATTATATTATCTCCTTTGGCGGGAATTTATTGTTTTTGATATTATCTCCCTAGCCGGGAGGTTGATGCTTCTTTTGATGTCACTCCCTTGCCGGGACTTGATTGTTAAACTATTGTTCCCTTGCCGGGATTCTTATTGTAATTTCATTTATTTCCTTTCCCTATTATTTGTGATTGTTATTTGGGTGAGGAAGAGCGTCAAAGCACGAAGGGTGATGCCGTGTATTATTTTGGTGAGAGAATGTTAAAGCACGAAGGGTGATGCCGTGTATGATTTGTGAGGAAAGAGTATAAAACACGAAGGGTGATGCCGTGTCGCACGATGTACCATTTCGTGCCGATTATATTGATTATATGGTGAGGACGAGAGTAAAAGCACGAAGGGTGATGCCGTGCACATTTTCATTACTTGATTACTTTGGTGAGGACGAGAGTAAAAGCACGAAAGGTGATGTCGTGCACTTGTTGATTTCTGATTCTTGTTGTTAGCTGAGATTTGGTGTTCCTCTTATTTACTCACTGTTTTGCTATTCTTAATTGATGTTCCCCCGCAACATGTTTCCCCCTCCCATACTTGACTGTTTATTTCTGTTCTTCTTTTCCGCTGTATATAGTTGAATTGCACAAGTTTATCTGGTAGTCTGGTCCTAGCCTCGTCACTATTTTGCCGAGGTTAGGCTAGGGACTTACCAGCACATGGGGTCGGTTGTGCTGATACTATACTCTGCACTATGTGCAATTCCCGGAGCAGCTTTTGGAACGTAGATTGGGTGGCTGCCTTCAGTCCACGCGGAGATCCAAGGTAGACCTGCAGGCGTCCGCAGGCCTTGGCGTCTCCCTCTATCCCTTTATTCCTGTTTTATTTCCTTAATTCAGAAACAATGTATTGTTTATTTTCAGACTTTGTATGTAGCATTCTTAGATCGTCTGTGGTACTGTGACACCAGTTCTGAGTGGTCGAGGTTCAAACAGTTGTATTAGATATATATATTCAGATAATTTACTGCATTTCTTCCGCTTATTGTGGTTTTCCGCTGTCTACACGCTTTAGCTTTATAATTGTTAAAGAGTATAAAATGGATAAAGAAGTAATTTGTTCAAATAATTGGTTTGTCTAGCTCCCATTAGTAGGCACAATCACGACTCTCGAGGATGGAAAATTCGGATCGTGACAAAAACAATAGGTATATTGGTAATTTAAAATCGTAAATCTTCTATTTAAGGTGAGTACCGGAAAGGAGGCATGCATGTTAAAGGCACGTAACTTCAGCATCAAGAGATTCTCCTGAATATATATGCAGGAAACCTGAATCCGCTGACTGTTGAAGTTGGCATATGAGGGAAGAGGCAGTTTGGCTTTTGGTATATTTCCCAAGTGCATAGCTAGACAGAAGAGGACAGATTATACTTTGCACTGCCCAATCTGTCATCACATTTTTAAAGCTGCTCATAATCAACAATATAGTAAATTTTTTCACCTTTACTTAACGTTTTAAGTTTGAGCATGTGAATGAAGAACCTCCCGTTGGGAGAACATTTTTACCTCTCTTAGTGCGTGGAATTCTAAGTTTGAACAGTATAATGAAAAATACTTCTGTACGAAAATGCATTTTATCACTCTTAGTGGGTATAACCGGGGACGAATAAATCAGGCGAACCAAGACGTTTCAGATAACGAATGCTAAAGAATGTTATGAGAGTCATTTCATTTGTTTTCTTACTGTTTGCAGCTATTGCGATACAAAAAAATTAACTGGGAACACATATAAATATGAAGAAACATAATTTTATTGTTAAATAATGTGAATACAATTCTGTTTGTCTTTTGTAGAGCAACATGTTTCTCGAATGTAGGATGATGCGGACTTCCTTGGAATTTATTTGATCTCTATTAAAGAATATTGTTGTGGAGGATCTTCTTGAAGTATTTAATTATCAAGAAATATCTGGCTGCATCATGATCTCTTTGTGAGTGTTCCATCAAGACGAGACTTGAAGTACTCGACATCGCACCAAGTGATGATTTTGAAACTTGTAGTTTTTCATTAATTTGCAGGAGGAAGAGATAAAGGGTAGAACTGGTCTCGCTGGGCGTGCTAAAATTTGTAACAACTAAAATTTCGTTCCTGAAAATAATAATCAAGACAAGAAATATAGCGACAAATAAACGTATTTGTATTTCAATAATTTACGTGCGCGGGTTATACAATCTTTGAACAATCTTAAGTTAAAAGATGTAATACTCGTATTCTTCTGCCAATTCGGAAGCTTCACTTGTTCATGAATTGATGAACCAATTGTTGTTAGGATTTGACCACGAATGCGGAGTCAGGCTTTAATCACAAATGTGGAGGATGGAAACTTGCGGCTCACTACTTGGAGATGACGACTTCTTACTATGCGGAAGACTTGCGAATCACCACCGGAGAGGAGAGCTTCTCTATATAATTTTCTTGTCCTGCTTTTTAGCCTTATGGAGACCCATATTTATAGTTGTAGAGGAGAAAACTTGTGATAAATACATATCTTTTTCCTCCAATTTGATTGGCCAACTTGAGTCATCAAACCTATCACTAAAACTATGTGATAAACTTGCACATAATTGGTTGAACTATGACATTTTAATATTTTGCGATATGGCATTTGACTTGGCACGCTACATCACTTATGCACGTGGCATAATTTTAGTGGTCCTTGATTTGACGTGGCATGATATGTCATTTGACACATGGCATGGACCTTGGGCTTATCATTTGAAGTTCGACAAGATGGACTAACCCAATTCAATTGGGCTCTTAATTAAATCTGTATAAACTAGGTTTAAATAATAAATTTAATTATACTAGCCCATAATACTTGTTTGGGCTAACACATCTTTGAATTTAAAATAGAGAAACTTTCAGAAACCACTATGTGTTAGTGGTTATTAGCTAGTTGTAGCTACCATTTACTATATTACTTCCTATAGCTATATTTTCGATTTTTTAGAGTGTATTCAATCTATTTAAGCTATTGTATTCATGAATACAGTAGTATTTCTAAGCGTGAAACAAGGGATTACAATTAGACAATTTTTTGTATTCGAGTGTATTCGACTGTATTCATGGCATGAAACATGGGATTACAGATGGACAGATTATTACATTCGACTGTATTCACAGCGTGAAACAGGGGATTACACTATTTTTAAACGGAAAGTGAATCAATTAACATAATAGACTCCTAATATAACTCAACAAACTCAATTATAACACAGAAATTTTGTATTTCCAGTTATAAAAAAGATTCTTAACCGAAAAACACCACAAAAACATAGCAATCTTCAGAGAAATTATATAATACATCTGAATACATAAATTATATTAATTAAAAAAACATATGAATACATTCATCGAATATAACAAGACAGTGGATACAATGAAATATATAGAATACCGCAGGATACATTGAAATACAATAAAAAAAAAGACAATGAAATACATAGAATACAGCTAGATACATTGAAATACAATGAAAAAAAAAGACAATGAATACAATAAAATATAGCGAGATACATTGAAATATATTAATAGAAAATTCAAGTTGCTTAGTCCCAACTCCGTCGTCTTTGTTCAAGAACAACCCTAAGCTTACGTATACCGAAGTGGCAACACCAAGCGCGTAAGCACCAATTGCCGCCGCAACCAATTCCTTTCCGGGCTTCACCACCGCACCAACACCAACAATCCCAAAAGCCCCCAATGGAACCCGCTTCAACAGCTCTTTCACAGCCCCCGAAACGACAGTGTCTGCAAATACCTCCACCGCGAAGTCCTTAAATTCAGTATTCCCAAGCACAATTTCGCTCTCTTTCTCCTCGCCAGACCGACCCGTGAAGACGACTTTTAAGGCCTTATCTACTTGTAATCGAGTCGGAGGCGATTTGACCCAGTTGGTTATGAGAGAGACGGAGGGATAGAGAGAAGCGTGGAGGCGTTCGGAGGCGCAGAAGAGCTGGTAGGGTAAGTAGAGAGAGAGAGAGGGAGAATAGATATGGGGCAGGGGATAGGAGAAACTTGAGGGGATATGAGAGAGAAAAATAATACAAAGCTTATTTAATGGCTTAAGGGTAGGAGGTGACCATAAATAGATATTTGGCTATAAAAAACAAAAGGTAGCTATGGAATATAATTTTTTAAAAGGATATTTATTTAAAATAAATAAGGTATCAACCTTTGCTATAGGAGGTAACTAATCCTTTAAAATATTATCCAAATAATTTAATGAACTTCAACCCAATAAAATTTAAACGTCTACCCTTACTAGTGAGATTTTTACATGCTTGAGCATTTTAAAAAAAAAGTTATTCAACAAAATGATATTACCTTTTGTTTATTCCATAAAATAGCAAACAGAATTTACAATCTTAGCATATTATAAAGATTATGCCACCACTAATGGATGCACAAATTAAGGAATACCACTAAATAAGAAATTTAATATAGCTAAAAAATTTCGATCTCATATTGGGATTTTTTCTTTGGGGGAGG